TATATATATATATTTCCCTGTGTCTTCTCTTTTCTCCCTCCCAAACTGCAAATAAATGGAAAATAAAATCTAATTTACACTAAATCTACACAAAATCAATACCAGAGCCTCCTGCAACTTTATTTTTTCTGGGTCTTGCAAGGGTGCTGTAAGAATGTGTAATCCCAAAGGCATGATGTATCAACTTGCTTTGTTGGTCAAAATAAAGAAGAATCAAAATCTTGGAGGAGGCACCATGCCTACTAATCCGCAAAAACGCATGAAATTTCGCTAAACAGGTGTTCATAGGTTCTCGATAGATACTTTGCTGGTGGCCATTGGATATTTCAATCAAGAACATATGTTGGACTGTCATGTGTTTGAAATTTCAGGAGCCACCTCAATTTTTCATTATGTGGGTCAATATTTTGAAATTTGAACCTTTGTCATGTTATACCCAGTTCATGAGGAGCTTCAATATGCATTACCCAGTTCAATCTTTTGAAATTTGAACCTTTGCCATGCAATACCCAGTTCATGAGGAGCTTCAAAATGCATTACCCAGTTCAATNATTTTGAAATTTGAACCTTTGTCATGTTATACCCAGTTCATGAGGAGCTTCAATATGCATTACCCAGTTCAATCTTTTGAAATTTGAACCTTTGCCATGCAATACCCAGTTCATGAGGAGCTTCAAAATGCATTACCCAGTTCAATCTTTTGAAATTTTAACATTTGCCATGCAATACCCAGTTCATGAGGAGCTTCAAAATGCATTACCCAGTTCAATCTTTTGAAATTTTAACATTTGTCATGCAATATCCAGTTCATGAGGAGCTTCAAAATGCAGCACCAAAAATTTTACATACATTGCTAAACTCCAGCATATAATGGACGAAAAAAAATCTACAGTCCGCACTCTTCCTTCTTGTCATTAGATTCGCACTCTTCCTTCTAAACAATTAGGATTTCTTTGTTTTGTTAAGTGTTTGAGGCTTGTTGGTTGATGAAATATTGTTGTCTTTGTACTTGAATTTAGATTGTTTTGCTATATGTTCTTCAAATGTAGTTATGGAATGTTGAATAAGATTAAAAGAAGAAATCAATTTTATTGATTTATTCCTACGCTTAGTTCTCGAATTCTTGTTTAATGGCTTTGTTTTGCTGGTTTCTTAATAAAATTGCTATG